CTTGCTTTGGGATCTGCATTCTGGAGTTGAAGAGCCCTCCTGAGAACCTGGAATTAAACCTTGAAAGCTCCAGGGAGGGGGAGCCCCTAGAGGCCAGTGCTGCATAGGGGAAACATTTTTTTGTAACTAGGTCACAGAAGAGAGAGAGGAGCCCTAAAGACTTCCTCCCACAGAGCAATTAGAAGAGAAAGTCCCTGCAGAGCCTGAACCAGGTGGGGTGCCCACTGCCGGCATCTAGGACGTGTCCCGTGAGTTTTAGTCTGGGTGGCAGAGTCACTGTACAGGGTTTTACCCTCCACCAAGTCCCCATTATCCTGGTCATCATTATCCTGTGCCAAGCTGGTCACTAAGGGCTACATGTAGCATCTCATTTATCCCCACAGTGCCCCTCTGAGGAGGGGGCATGTGGTACCTTAGAGATTTTTGTTTTGTTTTGGATTTCATTTGGAATCTATGATATATATTCCCTTGGAGAGTTTGGGAAGACAAATCAAGAGGCTGGGAACAAAATCATACCAGGAATTAAGAGGCACAGTTATCTTCCTTGCTTTGAGACGGGTCACTTGCCCCTTCTCAGGAACTGGAAAAGATAGTTGTGATAAATGAGTTCCCTTGCTCTCTGGAATGAGGGTAGCCTAGAGATGTTTGTCTCAGTGTTCATTTGTCTCTTTGCATAGGTATGCTAATACATTCATCAGCTTGCATTATTTAGAGTTATTGTGAGAAAGGTCTAATTTCTATTGCCTGCCCTGATTTTCAATTTAAATATAATTCACTGTCTCCATTTGCCAGAATTAACGTTGCAAACAGAAAAGAGAGAATTACTTTTAAACGTAGTTTGGCATATAAAATCAACGTTTAATGTGGAACATTTCTCCAGCTGCACATTAGGGTGCTAACACCAAGCCTTCTAGAATATTTTCCCTTAATGAGTCTGGAAATTAGTATGAACCCAAATAGCAAATATTGAGCGCCAGGTGGTCTTCCTGTGAGTTCCTTTGGTAGTGTTGGTGGGGTGATGAGTTGGGGGTCCCTTTCTGCCTTCTCTCCCATCCTTGTTACCCTGGGTCCATGATAGTACATGTACAGTGTACACTTCATTTAAAAACAATTGGTAGATTTTAATAGTAAAGACAAAATTCATTGTGGTGTATTAAAAAATATCAGATATCTCATGTAAGCATGAAGCTACCTATTCAGTCTTTGTGACAACTTTTAGAGTCACGTGTAAATCTAGGACACTTTAGTGTTCCCAAACTTCATAATATAATACTTTGATTTGTGTAGCTTCTCTGTGTATTATGTATCCCATCTTGCTCATCTAATTAACATATCCTAAATCTGCATCCCTTCAGAGTACAGAAATTTTTAAAAAAGGAAAAAAAAAAGTACAATGACCTATCTTTCAACTTTATTAAAATGGAAACAGTATGGTTAGAATAATTTAAAGAAAAAAGTAAAAAGTTTTAAAACATTCACACTTTACTATCTCTAACTAATCTTAAGCAATACAAAATGACGTCTTCTTGTTAGAATTGTTGAAGGGAACTAGCAGTTTCCTATCTCACTTGCTAATTTTTCTCACTTTCCTCATCTGTTTGCATCTTTTCTCCTTCACTTCCATGAAACCGAGATTGGTTGGTAGGAATTCTGCAAGTGATTCATTATTTTAAGGTTAGATTTATCGGTGGTATGGCATATTCTGTATTTTCAAAATTTATTTGGTTTCTTGGTGATTTCTTTTGTTTGGTTTAGGTTATGGACATGGAGAGATAAAACCAACTGGTACTTCTACAGAAAATATTTTTGAGTGGGAATTATTTTGCCATATGTTTTATCCTTATGACTGAAAGCACCTGATACATTTCTTAGGCCATTGCTTTCCATATTATATAATTTATATCTGTCATGGGGAAAGGGAGCTTTTAATTTCATAGCAGAGTAATGGGAAAGAAATGTCAGGCTTTTTTTATTTTAAAGGATTTTTTAAAATTCTAGATCTGTGTATTTTTGGATAGAGCTAGAATCCAATTTAACTTTAGCTCAGTTAAGCCTTGTCAGACTGAAGGAATGGTGTCTTGATTTCAATAAACAGGGTGTGTAGAATTTGCTTGATTTATCGGCAGTATCTTCCCAATACGTAGCTCTTACCTTAAATACTTGTTAAATAATATTAGCTTTTTTCTTATGAAAGGTGATGCAGTAATTTTCTGACCTACTATAGAACAGACTCCTTTCCTGTTCTTTGGTCTACTTTCTGAGGTCCAAGGGTTTTGTGAGGAAACACACCTACAGCCCTAGTGATCCATCACTGAGGACAGGTAAGGTGAAAAAGTAACCAGGACTCATCAGATCCTGTCACTGACACTGTTAAATTGACAAAGTAATTTTACTTAATAAAAAAAGAAATTCTCATCCAGAGATCTTTGCTCCTGTATGGATAGGAATTCATTAAGGAGATTTATTAATCACAGTCATATATTAGTCTAACCATAGTTTTTAGCATCCTGTAAGTTCTCAGAAGGCGGTTCGCTGAGATTCTGTGGGGTTAATTGATATTAACATGTTGTTTCCCTGTATGATGTTTGTTATTTATTCATTTAATTTTGGTGCAGAGGTTTGATTCCAGAACCTTGGTATGCTAGGCACACATTCTCCCCCTGAGCTACGTCCCTAGCTCCTGATGTTTATTAAATAATTCTGTTAAGATTTTAAATGCATAAGATTATGTTGGAGGTAAAGGAAACAAAAGAAAATTAAAATATGCATACCCATACCCAAAGAAGAATAAAAATGGTGTTCGGGATTAAATTTCTCTTTTCTCCTTAGAACTGGATGATTTGAGCTTTACCTCTGTGGGTGTGTGGAAAGTGGAAACATGAATTAGACCCTATTGACCTCTTTCATTCTGCTGGGCTGTGCTGTCCAGTGTTAGGAATCCCTTCTGCGACCAGGACACAGAGAAGACCTGGATTTAGTCGCTTGATCAGTATGAGCTCCTGTGTGCTCGCTGTGTTCTTGGTTTATGACGTAAACAGGCAATAAAATGATGCTCCTGCCCTTATGGAGACAGAGCGTGTATGTCCGTTGGTGATAAGTTGTCTGATGAACGTAAAGCAGAGTGAGGGGATGAGAGGCGCATGGAGTTGGGCTCTCCTGTTTCAGATGAGGTGTCTAGGGAGGTCCCTCTGCGTGTGCATTTATCGAAATTCCACATGCTTAGGTTCATTTGGCTTACATTTCAATTTCCCCCTGCCTTTGGAAATGTCATTCTGGAAATAGAAACGACTTTACCATGTTTGTTAGTTGCTTTTTAGTGTTAATATGTTTTAGATTATTTCCTTGGAGCAAATGTTAATAATGGAGAGTTTGAAGCAGTGGATGTGTGGGCCCGGGAAGGGGTTAGAATAAAGGATCCAAATAGGCAGAGTTATTTCCCGCATCTGAGGGGTCTGCTCTGTGCCCCACTCTTCGAGCTCCACTGTGGCTCCTCGTGGCCTCTCCAGCCTTTCAGTGCTTGTCCGCTTGAGGGCAGTGGCCATTCGCTTGTGGGAATGCTGATTGCAGAAGGGGAACCCTTGCAATACTTTCCTCTTGGCTCTTCAGGAGAAATGTCCTGTACAATTAAGGTTTGTTTGCTAGCCTTCCCAATTGGCTTGTTTTGCTTTGTATTTTCAAAGTTATTGTCACATTGATATAGAGGAATGAAGCTCCCAACCTACTAGATGTCCAAAACGCTGAGTTCCTGTTCTCTAAAATCAAGGAATGAATTCTAGGAATAATGGAGGTTAAGCATAGGAAGAATTTACTGAGAGAAAGAAACCTTCTGTCTAAGAAGGACAGAAGGGGGCCCGGAAAGTGGGTGGCCCGCCAACCCCCGCTTCTCAAGGGTGTGTTACTGAGCAGAGCTACAAGGTGAGGTGCGCTTAAGGTGAGACAGAACTATAATCAATAAGATTACAGATATAGTCACTTAGGTAAATGATCCAGTGGCAGATCACAGGACTGGTGCAAAGTAGGACAAAATTACGTTCAACCCGTAAGTATATAAGGATAGTCAGTTGGGTAATATTGATTAAAAGGGATCAAATGGGGAAACAAGCCATGTAGCAAGCCACATGGGACTGAGGAGGACTTTACTGGAGGGGTGGCTGAGGAGGTTTGGTCCTCCACCCCAACGTGGGTGATGCCCACTGAGAGTACCGGTCACAGCTGCTCATCCCCAGGGGAAGCACATTGAGTGAGTATTTCTTCTTTTCCTTGAAGCCTGGCCTTCAGTGAATGTGTCCAAGCCGCGGTTGTCTTCTGCCTTGACCTCTGAGGGCCTAGGCCTATCTGGCTGCTTGCAGTATTTGTCCCTAATTTAGCTATCTATAGCAACATTGTTTTTATTATTTTTAATATACAGCCTAAACGTGTCTGTAGGGAGATCTTTTTCTATTTATGAGCTCTGGCTCACAACATTGAGTCGTTCTGAATGAGGAAGATACTAATTCTCCCTGCCTTCCTGCTTGTCAGCCCGGTGATCAGCAGGGTCTGCATCGCACCGCTAACCTTGCAGTGCCTAAGAGGAAGCTTGCTCCCAGTTTAGTTCTGTTGCCTTGCCAGGCTTTGGCAGTGATGGGGAGGGTGGAAATTTGTACTTCCTTCTGGAGGCTTGGGCATTTTCTCTTGGTTAAGAAAGTATCAGAAGCAAGCTTTCAAAGAAACATTTTAAATGCATCTTTGTGTGTTTCTGTGTGGTTTATATATAGACATGGGATATACAGATATTAAATTCTTTGATGTGATATTTCTTTTGCTGGATAGCCAAAGCATGTTGACTTTATACTGATGAGTAATTTTGGGTTTGAGGTGAAGAAAACCAGCAATACTAGTTTGCAGCAAAGCAGCTGCATGTTACAGTATCTTTTTTCCTCATTATGGGCAAAATGATTGAATGTGAGAATGAACCTAAATTGCTAATTTTAATGGAGAAAATGTTCCTTTTTTTCCTTCAGCTTTTGCTTTGGTGTCTGAAGATATAAAGAAAGAAGTCAAGAGAACTCAGGTACTAATTCTAATGACCTAATCCCCCCTTCACACCTTTTGAAATTCTTTATCTTCACTGGGAACTATAAGGAGTTCATCCTTCTGCAGCTAGCATGTTTCCTTTTTGTTTTCTTATATCAATTGATTTATGTTGTTCATAAACATAGATTTTTGAAGCCCTAAAAGCAACCTATAGACTTGGCTACCAACTAGTTTAATACCTTTAATAGTTACCTTTAGTAGTTAAAACCGATTCTCTAGACTTGAGAGGCATTTTAAGTAAGAATAAAGTGTTCTGACTTAGAGGCAGACATTGCTTGGGTGTTATACAGTGTCCATTCTTACCGCATCCTAAGCTGGGGCTTGCTTTTCCCCATCTGTGGAAAGATGTTGCTGTGTCGCAAGGTGACATAGTTTATTGGCCTTAAGAACCTGACTTCTTTGCCTTGAGCGGGTGCCTTGTGGGAGGCACACGAGGGCTGGGAGAGCCTGCGGGACTGCGCTGCCGGGTTCCCTCTTTGCACAGAGCTGGAAGCTGGAGCTGGGGGATTAGAGCAGCACATCCCCAAATCTCAGAGCTGCTTCCTTTAGACGTTTGCTTGTGTTCAAGAATTCATCTAAATTTTTACCCTTTGGGCTTTGCATGTGATCAATTTAGCATATGGAAAAGAAAAAAGTACTTTATGACTTGCTTTGTTCATATTAATTAAGGCTCTGTTGAGTCTCTTTTTACCCCACAGTTGGTATAAAATCACGTATTAATAGCATATTTCTTTTATCAGTTCTTAGTATACTAGAGAATTTCTCCACAGGAGAAATGATAATAATTTATTATGATTTTAAAATCTTTTATGACTAATAAGGCATTTTTACACATTTCATTTGATTCAGTCTTCTCAATAATGCTGTTGTTGCTAAGCAAAGCAGATATTCCCAATTACAACAGAGAAAACTTAGTCTTACAGAACTTAGATGATTTTACTGAGGTCACAGAGTTATTAAAAGATTAAGGTTCAAATTCTCTGAATTCTTTAATTTTCACCCTGTACTATTTTATGTTACCCAGCTTTGTGTATTATATTCTGTGTTTGGTAGTTACAAAGGTTATTTATGATAAAATTAAGGTGCTGCATAAGGGTTATGAATAAAGAATTAAAATTTCATTTAATGAGTTATATAATGAATGAAATAGAGAAGGTAAGTCTTGTATGTTATTATCATTTTTCATGCAGAGGTATTAATGCACTTAAAGGACATTAATTTAGATATTAATGCACTTGAAGGACATTTGTAGGTCTCATAGTCAAGGTAGCTGTCAGTCCTGTGAAGAGAGGAAGCAATAACTTGTTTACTGTACAGTCAGTGGATCTGAGATGGAGAGATGCAAAGACTCAGTTTGTCCAGAGTCTGAAGTTGAATTGGAGCTAGAGTTTAAAGCTCTGAACAATGGCCATCTTAATTTTCAGCTCATCCCTTGGGCAAAATTGACCCAGACCTGCCCCACTGTTGTTATCTCAAGGCAGCATCTACCTCACCTGATGCCTGCCTTCCCGAAAGATTCTATGCAAAGCTTCTGTCTGGTGCAGGTAATCCTGGTCAGGGCTGGGTTTCTGCCCCATACAATCTGCCAACTCACTGGTTGGCGTTGAGTTTGGCTACCCACCAAACTCCTCAGTGCTGCGGCCTTTACCAGGTCCTGGTGTCTGGTGCTGTCCTGGATCCTGACCTGTGGACAGTTTCGGGGCCTGTTCATCCAGGACTGTACTCCAGGCCGTAGGTACTGCCTCAGCCAAACCGTGTACCTAGTTTCAGACCATATGACGTAGGGTTAAAGCTGGACAGTTGAATTAAAGTGCCATATTTCATCATGTTCCTCTCTTCCCCACTGACCAGTTGTGGGACTTAGTGATCCTCCCGTGCCTCAGTTCCTCATCTGTAATATGGGGTGGTAAGACTTACCTCAAAGGGCTATTTGAAAGATTTAGTGTGTGTGTGTTTACAATTTATAACAGTACCAAGTTGTAATCAGTTGTTTAATAATAAGAAATGTCTAAGCATTTCAATAGGTTGCATAAATCATCTGTTTTATCTAAACAAATCAAAACGTGTGGCAGCAGTAAAAGACTTCACTGTTTTTGTCAGTTAAATTTCTTTTATGGTGACAGTTGACTGCATAGAAGTGGTGGATGGAGATGGTAAGAATAGGGGCAAGTAGTTGTTTCGTCTCTGCTTTGTGTGCACACTGAGTTCAGCACCTTATTATCTCATAACACAGTCCCATCCTGTGGGTCGTGCAGTTATTATTCCTGTTTTACAAGTGAGAAACTGAAGCCTGAGCTGGGAAGTAGAGGAGGCAGAGTTAGAACACAGGGCCAGCTTGCAATGCAATGTCCCGATGAGAACAATCTAGAGGGTAATGGGGGGGTTGGGGTAGAGGGCGGCATTGACCTGCCTTCACTGTTAAAGGTTTCACAACAAATTCTTTTGAGCAGTTGAATATTCTTTTGTGAAGAACTTTCAAATAAAGCATTACATATTCAGATTCCAAGTGTTAAATGTATTGTGACTTAAAAAAGAAACCCATGTAGAATAATGACTTGGATATGGCTTTCCGGCTAGGGTAGGAGCTCTCTGGGGTAGACGCATTAGAAGCCAGTCTTTTTCCTATCCGAATAGCAGTTCAGGTGACTTACACAACCTTGACAGTGAGCACATTTTGATTAATATTGATAGTGTATGAAACGTGTGGCAGCAGAGATAATAAAACAAACCATGTGTTTCTTTCTTCTTAGGAAGAAATAATCCTACTCACAAGGGATGCTGAAGACAGAATTTTAAATGTTCTGTCAATTTGTTCAGTTAGTCTAATTTTCTTTTCCAAGGGGGAAATTACTCAAGATCATTCTGTTTCTGTTTCAGTTCACCTAATTCAACTGTTCCTTGGCTATTTATTTTTACAGTTTACAGATTGAGTCATTTGAAATAGTGATTTCCTGGCTGTTGTGTTAGCCAATCTGAGCTACAGTGCTTAATAACAAATAGACATATATAATTTTGGTTGCTTTTCTTTTATTTCACAAAGATATCTGAAAGGCAGTCCAGCTACTGGTCCAGCTTGTTAAAGTTACTGAATCTGGAACCTCTGCAGTCCAGATGCTTTTCACTTTTTGTTATGGGTATTACTTTTAGTTTATTCTCAACCTATTTTTACACCTAAAGGACAGCTCCTGGGAGGTTGGGTGTGCATTAGCAGTGTGGTGTAAAGAAGCAGCATTGCACAGGACTCCAAGACATTTATCCTGATTTTGGGGTTGATGATTGTTGCGCCCTAGGAAAATCCTTTATCTTTCTGAGATAAAGCATTGCCTTCTTTTTAAAGGGGTAGCATATTGGATCTAACCGTCTCCAGCTCTGTTTGTAATATAAATGTTCTGTTTTCCTGGAGTAGAATCTGTGGCCTCCCAAGGATGAGGAGCACAGGCAAAGGGCAGGTGGTGAGTTGATGGTGGTAGCCAGTGCCCCTTCCTGTTAACACCAGCACTCCTGCCCCAAGAGCAGCTGGTTTTCCCAGTCCTGTGTGGCAGGTAGGGTGTAGGTATTACGGGGAGTCCGCCCACACTACCTTATGGTGCTGACCTGGCTTTGACTGAGCACGTTAAGCAAGGGTTGAACTTTGTAGAGTTTTTCAGTGGGTTTTCCAAGTTATATTTCATCAAAATTAAGTCAGGTATGGTTTGATCTTACAAGCCAACAGGCCAGCATCTGACTATGCATTCTTTAGCACTCAGTGAGATCTCTACTGCTAAGGCAAAGACAATTTCATAAAATGCCAGCCCAGCTACTTATTCTCCTTTGTTGAACTCTCCTTACTGTCCATTGTTGTGGTCCTTTGGGCACTCTCAGAGGACACATCTCTTTGTGGTTGTGTCTTTCAAGCTGCTCCTCATCTTGTTGGTAGAGACTTATAGCTACACTTCTTACTGCAGTCTAGATGAAAATTGAAGGATATTTGCCTCTGTCCAGTTGTCGTAATTACAGCCTACGGCTGTTGAAAATAGAAAAGGACAGTTAGGAAGAATGCTCCTTTCTACTCTGCGGAAAAGACAACGAAAATGGCAGATTAGCTGCTCGCACCTTGTACGTGCCACAGCATTTTTGAGGCTGCTTGAATTACATAAGGTCAAAATCTGTCCAGGTCCAGATTGCTGCCTCAGGAGCTCCCCAGCTGTGAGGCACCATTCTGTTCCCATGTTCGGTGACGACGTGTGCTGCTCTAACAGAATACCGGAGGCTGGGTCATTTATAATTTGTGAGGTTTATTGTAGTTTTGGAGGCTGGAAGGGTCAGCGTGGAGAGCTCAGCAGCTGACAAGGGCTTTTTTTGCTAGAGTCATCTCATGGCTGAAGGCAAAGTGCAAGAGACAGTATGTGTAAGAGAGGGCTCAACCGGAATGTGTAAGAAGCCATATTCCTGCTAATACACCTGCTCCCAGGGTAAACCCACTCACGGGGGCAGAGCCCTTGTGACCTGATCCCCTCTTAAAGATTCCAGCTCTGAGCACTGTCACATGGGGTGCAGTTTTCAACATGGGTTTTGGGAGACACCTGCAAGCCATCCTCGATGGACCTCACCTGAAGCCCTGAGCAGATTCCTGGGACAGAGAGAACATACTGCTGACATTCTTTTTAAATCTTTTTTTTTTTTTTTTTTTTGTCTTTTTCCTTTTTATCGGTACCGGGGATCGAACTCACGACAGCCTGCTTGCAAGGCAGGCACTTATGCCGCTGAGCTAAATCCCCAGCCCCCTCTTTTTAAATCTTTTAAAATTTATTTATTTATTTATTTTTTTGTGGTACCAGGGATTGAACTCACAACCTGCTGCTTGCCAGGGAGGCGCTTATGCCGCTGAGCCAAATCCCTGGCCTAAAATTTAATTTTATTAGTGTATATTTGCAATACATAACAGTTATGTTTGTTTGGGGAAAATATGATCATGTCTTGATCATTTTTGTCCCCTTTATCCTCTCTCCCTAACATCTCTGCTCCCCCGGCCCCCCTTCCCCATCTCCCCAAAGCTTTTGTTTCCCAGCAACTCTCTCCTTTATTCATTTATAGCTTAGGTTTGGTACATAAGAGAAAATTTGTGAAATTCTCCTCCTTTTGTTTGTTTTGTCTTTGAGACAGGCTGGGCTTGAACTCACTTTGTAGCCAAGGCTGGCCTTGAACTCTCAGCAGTCCTCCTGCCTCAGCTTCCTGCCTGTGTTCCCCATGTGGCTGATACTCTGCTTTCTGTGTCTGACTTGGTTCACTTAATGCTGTGGTCTCGGGGACTTCTGCTTTCCTACAAATGACTCAAGTTTGTCCTTTAGGCAAAGTAATATTCCATTGTGTATAAAAACCATATTTTCTTTATCCTTTTATCTGGATTTTTTTTGTTTTTGTTTTAATTTGGTCTTTATGGGACAGAGTCTCTATGCAGTTCAAGCTGGCCTTGCGCTCACTTTTTAGGCCAGGCTGGTCTCGAACTCACAATGATCCTCCTGCCTTGGCCTCCTGAGTGCTGTAGTTCCAGTAGTGCACCACCACACCTGGCTGTTCTTTCACCTGTTGATGGACATGCAAGCCACTTAACAAGATTCAGCTATTATGATTGTGCAGCTGTAACATGGATTTGCTTGTATCTTCTCTTCCAGGAAGAGACACCTAGAAGGGGAATGCTGAGTCAAACCGAATTTCTAGTTTTAGTTTTTCGAGGAATAATTTTGTTAGGAAATTATTTCTGAACTTCCGTCTTCCAGTCTCCCTGAGTGCTAATGCATACTGTGCATGTTCATTCACTGTGTTGCTAGCTTTGTTATGTGATAATGATTTTTCTTTTTCTTTTTCATTTCCAATGCAGGATTTGGAGAAAAGTGTTATATCAAGAAAAAATGACCTAAGTAAGTAATGATCTTTTCACTGATGAGTGTGTACTCAGGTGTATTTGTTGTAAATTGTATTTCAGTGAAATGCAGTTTTCTTTCTGATTTTATGTATAGGGTAAATTCTCTTGTCCAGATTCTCTGTTTTTGGGCCAGCCCAATATTTACCATCAGAAATACCTAGGGAAACTACTTTGCAGACAGGCATATTGACGTGCAATATGTATTAGCCGTCATTCACTGAGGGTACAGAACCATGCTAGGTACATACCATAGAGTATAGAGACGGGGAGGGCACAGTCCTTGTGATTATGGCAGAATGAATCCATTTTTAGACTGCACAACAAAATACCAGAGGCTGATTACTTACGAAGAAAGTAAGTTTATTTAGCTCCCAAATCAAGAGGCCTTACTGTTCCATCTCTGGCTGTGTCGGGCCGCGGCCGAGGATCATGGTGGGGAGTGTGTGTGAGAAGGTGAGATCACAGGGTGAAACAGCAAGTTCCAGAGGTTCGGTGTCCAGGCTCACTGTTCAGAAGAGTGACTCTTGAGGGAACCAAGTGTGGTCCTGTGAGAAGCACATTTATCTCTTCTGAGGACAGCGCCCTGGGGCGGGAGGGGGGGACCCAGCCCCACCCAATGGCTCTACCATCTCCCAGTGCACCCTGAGGACTAAGCCTCCAACATACAAACTCTTTCAGGGGACGCTCAGATGTTATCCAAACTCTTAGTGGAGCACAGGACAAACTGTGCTCTTCCTAGAGCTGGGCTCCCCACCATAGCCGCCCTTCTGGAGTCAGCTAAGCAGTCTCACCCATCAGATTCATCGCGAGGGCCCCTGGAAGCTGCTCTTACCCCTGTGACACATGTCTGCTGTTGCAGCCCATGGGCACCTTGTTTGTACTCCTTTTCAAACACATCCCCATTCACCTCACAGTGTGAGCCGTGTAGGTTAGTCTTTCTCGGTGCCACGGAGGCATGGCCCAGTGTGTTGGTGGAGAGTCAGTGCCACACCACTGGGGACAGGATCGTATGTTTTGTCAGTGGCTTTCATCCCAGGGGAGGTTACAGAGACCTGGATCCTGAGCTTTGGATGAGAGGCATGCTTGCTTTCTTGGCCTTTCTTCCCTGAGCTTGGGTTCTGAGATGACACAGGAGCAGGAGAGCAGCACTATCCTGCCGTGCAGGACCTAAGGTGGGGAGCTGCGTCTGGAGCCCCAGGGGCCTGCACGGCTCCATGGGCTCCGAGAACAGCTCTATTTAAGGCACTACATCTGTTCCTTGCCTTTTGTTTTCTTGGTTATCACACCCTGTATGGTTTAGCTCCTCCTTTCCAGGGAGAGGTTTTTCTCTTGGCTGCCAACATTGGTGGCTTTAGGCATTTGTTTGAATATTGGTTTTATGGCAGCTGATTGATCTTCTCCTAGTAGCTGGTTATTAAACAGATTCATGAACTGAGTCTGGAACATGAGCTTGAAACTAGCCAGGCAAAGTTACTTTGGATGTGTAAATTTATTTCACAAATGCAGTTTTAGTTGGCAAGTCAGAGTGATGCCTAATTTGCTATCAGTTCATCTGGAAAAAACCCAGAGGCATCTTTGTCTAAATCTTCATATGCAAGAACCAGGAGGCTGCTGAAGAGCTGATAGAGTCACATCAGAGTAAAGTCAGAGTCCCTCAGCCTCACACTCACTGTGCTTGGGGTGGGCACAGCTCCACACACAGATCAGACTTTTTCTTCTTAGCTCATTGCCTCACTGATAGATCCCCCAGTGTCCAGAACTCTTCTCAGCAAGAGAGACAGACGTGGGGTGGCTCTTCTTACATGGCCATCTGGATGCATATTTATCCCTCAGCTTTAAATCAGAAGGCTGCCTGGTACTTACCTTCTATCAGAAGAACCTGTATCAAGTTTTCATCAAATGCCAGCATGGCCCTTCTTCCAGTCCCTTTCTGATCAGGAGAATTAGCACTGAACAACTCAGCTTTTTGTTCCTTTTACCTCCAAAGAGGCATAGTTTCTCTTTCAGCCATCCTTTTCTTTCTCCTCCTGTTCTGTCTCTTTTCTGAATGTTCTCTGCAGCCCACTGTTGACTTCAGACTGAGTTGGCCTTGTCTGCGTCGGGGGCTCATTTCTTTATCTTCCCCTCTAGCCTGCTACTCTGGTCATTACTGTCAGGCATTCGGTGTGTGACTCCTTGATTGTACTGTACATTCTTGGAGGAGAAACAATGATGATCCATCTTGATTGCAGCAGGGTTTGAGAAGGCAAATTGCGGTGAGTTTAGAAGAAGTGCACCCAAGAAGTGAAGAAAAGTGGAACTGTCTTATTTAGCTTCCTCAGTTGGGCACTGGGAGCTTGAGAGTCAGGTGACTCAGTGGCATTGACTTAAAAGGGCTGCCCAGAGTCTCTGGACTTAGCCAGAGTAACTGAGCTTAGGTCATAGGTAAAAAATATTTCTTGTTGCTGATGCAAGGATCAGTAGCGATGTATAAACTGTTTTCAGCTCTGCATGGTACTAACCTGTTTTTGTTTCTGCAATGCATTGGGACCCAGAAGTATGCAGTTATCCTGTCACCATTGTCATGTGTTCCTTTCTCCTTTAGCCTTGTCCTTGGTAACTCTCTTACACACATTCTGTTCCTTGGCCAGACCTAACTTATTTTCTGGTTCCTAATTGTGGCTCTCTGTCCCAGGCATTCACTGCAGGGAAGGTCTTTCCACATCTTTCTTTGTCTGTCCCCAGTACGTAGTATTCTCATCCCTTCCTCTGGGAAGGTCTGGCTGTCTGGGCCCTCCTGGGCACCTGATCAGACTGAGTCTGCCTCTGTCTCTAACTTGGTGACCCATGTCCTGTCCTTGCCTGAGTGACTGGGCCCTCAAGATGCTGCAGAGATGAGGCAGGGTGTGGCTCTGCAATGACCCTATTTCTTGCTCTGCTGCTAATCTGCTCCCCTCTACATGTGAGTTTGCAGAAAACTGCAGCTATTTAAAGGAAACCCTAGAAATCCCTTATCCCAGAAGCTCTCCTTGAACTGGCCCTACCTACTGTAGCTGAGCTTGGCTCTGGGTTCCCTTTACATCTTTGTGTTACTGATATGGTTGATATACATTGTGTCAACTTGAGAAGCCTGAAGCTTCACTAACTCAGCAGTTCTATACCTTAGGGTATAGAGGACATGCCCTTACTGCTCTAGGATGTTGTTCATTGTGTCAATTTAAGTTTAGAAGTTTAGCTAAGTGATTCAGCAGGCGACCAGGGTCCTTGCTTTATAAATACCCTGAACCAGTGCAAGAGGAGGGAACAGAGATGGTGTGAGAGCTACACCCACTTGAGGGTGGGTGGTTTATACAGTGTAAGGGAGGAAAAGAGGCTTGTCCCCCACCACTTGCGTTTTTTGCTCTTACTGCTTTAACTGTCTTCTGCCACCTTGAATTGTTGTCCTGTGCCATGCCACCCTGCTTTGGAACCAGTTGATTATGGACTGAAACCTCCACAAACTGTGAGCTAAATAAACCTTTCTTTCCTTAGTTTTGGGTGCAGGTATTTTGTCTCAGCAGTGAGAGAATAACTAAGATGGTTATGAGCCCTGTTTCCCAAACTAGGTCAGACACGCCAGTCTGCCACTATCCTTATTTATCTTTGCAGCCCGGAGCCTTGCACTTAGTAGGTATCTGGAAGACATTTGCCACATGTGCGTGTAGCATGCGAGAAGTACACTACACAAAAAGGAAGGGGCCAGCACGATTCTTAGTGGCTATATTAAGAAGTGGAAGACAAATACATCACTCAGACAGGATTCAGATACAGAATTGCTTCTGTTCTTATAAAGCCTCTTCCCTGTGTAGAGCTGTTGTCTTCTTGAGAGGCACAGTGGGAGCTTTGCTGAGCTGAGAGAAGTGGCAGGAGTTGGTTACGGTGGTGAGCACAGGCTTAACCTATTGACAGATGGATCTCCACGTGTAAAGAATTTATTATGTGATAATTTGAACATATGAAAAGCTGTAACGAGAAATGTAACAAATACCACCTAGGTCAGTGACGCTGAACTTTTTAGAGCTTTTAGTGGTCTCAATAGTCCACTGCAGCATGTGTGCCATAGGTTTCTCCACTGCTGGCCTAAATGAAGAAATAAATGGGACTAACACAGCTGAAATCTTTTAACTGTTACCTTTATTTGGTGGTTTTCATTCTCATGTAACATTTTATATACTTTTACATGTGATGTATGAATACGTATACTCTATATGTACTTTATGTACATTTCTGCTTATATTTTGCAAGTGATTTTATAGTTTTTCTTATGCAGCTGTTTTTTAACCAGCATTATATCCATGAGATTCATCTGTGGTATCTAGATTGATGCATATAGTGCTGGTTTATTTTTTAAAATGTTTTTGCAGTACCTGCTTGCATTACATGATGCTCACATTCTTCTGAGGGGGTAGGTACATTTACTTAGCATACCTTAATTTTTAAAAATTCTTCTTCTACTTTCTACCCCCTCGCTCACTCTATCTCTAGGTTGCTTTACTTTCGATATTATTATTTTTAGTTTATGTTTATGACATATAATAATTACACTCATTGTAGGTAGTTTTGCATGTCCTACAATGTCATACCTTAAATCTTTTTACTGCCCTTTCCCCTGCCCCCACACCTCCCCACCCTTGGTCTCTTGGTCCCTTTCCCATTTGTGAAAGATCTACCTCCCTGTTTCTCTTTCATAGTCTTTTAGGTTTCTTTTTATTTGTACCTTGGATTTTTCTGATGAGAGAAACCATATGGTATTTAAACTTGCATGTCTAATGTATTGCACTTAATATTATGTTTTCAAGGTGCATCCATTTTCCTATGAAAGTCTTAGATTTGTCCTTCTACGTAATTGACTAGTACTCCATTATGCATACATTTTCTTTATCCATTCATCTGTTGATGGACCAATAGGCTGCTTCCATGATTCTGCTATTATGAATTATGCTGCTATAAACATTAGTATGCACCTATTGCTGTAGT